TAGACTGAAAAATTTGAGTGGAATATATTAGGTGATTTCCTCCCCTAAGAATGTAAAGGAAGTAAAACCAAATAACACTAAATCTTTAGAGAGCTGCCACATTAATATTAGATGATGACGGAAACATTTTCTCAGTAAGGGATTTTCCCAGGATGGATGAATGCTGAGTAAGAAATAGTCTGAGCTCTAGGTACTTATGGTCCTAGCTGGTAAGAACTCAAAATCCAAGTGACAGAATAGTGAGAGAAACCTGAGAAAAAAACCTAAGTAAGAATTTTGTGAAAAACCACCAACTATAACTATGGTATTATAGGAGTTTGCTGAGATTGTACTGACTTTGCTTATTGTACTGTTCACGAACGGAAATAGTGTGTGTATGGGTGAATTTTTGTTTTTCATTTTTTATGACTGCCCTAACAAAACAGTGGCTAGATATTTACAAATTGGGACTACAAACTGCAGTGCCATGGAAACAATGAAGTTTTTTTTTTTGGTAAGGCTACACGTGGCTGTTCAGGTGGAGGACTTTCTTAGGATGCTGGCTGGTACCCCTGCCCTGCTGAGGGACACCCCAGGCATGGGAAGGATGCAGCACCCTGCAGTTGCTCCATGTAGGCAGCAGATGGCAGCAGAGAGAGGCTTTGCACATCGCTGCAGGTTCCAGTCTGCACAAAAGGCGCAGCCAGTTATGAGGTCAAGCGCCATAAGGAGTCCTTGGTAAGTTATTTACCTTCTCAGAGAAACCAAGAAGGCCAAGTAACCACTAGTCTCAGGCCTTTTCCTGGAAAAGCCTGCCATCTTTCATGATTTAGTTTTCAGGAAGTCGTTTCTGAAGACCCCCAAAGAAACCATTTCAGGCCCTGGCGTCTGTAGGCTTTGGCGTGCCCGTCACATCCAGCTTGCCAAATACTGTCCCGTTCTGTGACATAAACCACCTTATGCACCTGTGTCATCTGCACTGGGACCTCTTTTCAGTCATCTTTGCATTGGCCAGCATCCTGCTGGCATAGTGCTCTGCACATATGAAGATCTCCATAAATGGGTTTCAAAATGGCTAGTGAAATGGTGGGCATGCGTAGATATATTTGCTAAATACACGACAAAGTCTCCCCTAATGTCCTATGAAGGTGGGAACCTGTGAACTAGATGTGGCTAGGTACATTTATCCTTAAAACTCCACATGAGCTTGAATCATGTTGGTAAATGAACTGATGTTAAGCTAGAAGGAAATCTTTGGAGGCATTCCACAGTCAACATTTTTATTGGTTTCAGTGACCACAGAGAAAGCACTCTCATTAAACTGACAGATGACATAAAGTTGGAAGGAACTGCTAAGACACTGGAGACAGGGTTCAAAAACATCTGGATGGGCCAGAAGGATGAGCCAAAACCAATAAGGGACAGGGAAAACATAAAGCCCTGAATTTAGGTTAGAAAAATAGGGGGCGGGGGGGGGGAGTCTTGCTAAAAAGTTGGAAATAATGTAACTGTCTCATAACTTCATTCTATGGGATATTGTACATTGTTAAAAGAACAAATATCTATACACACTGACCTGGAAAGATTTCCAAGGCATATTACTAAATGGGAAACTATCTTAGAAAGGAATGGTGTAAAAACGCAAATTAAAATGGCTCTGTGTGTGTGTGTGTGTGTGTGTGTGTGTGTGTGTGTGTAAGTATATGCAGGTGCATGGGGGAAAGATTGGAGGGTGTTAACACTGGTACATCAGGGTAGGGAAGGGAAATGAGACTTTCACTTTTGACTTTGTATACTTCCGTATGACTTAATTTTAAATGAAAATGTATTTATATATTAATTCTATAATTACACAGATCACGCTGGCTGTCTTTTCATTTTGAAATGAGCAAAGGTGACGGGGCTGTTAAGTGAGAGTGAGGCCAGTGAGCAACACCGTGGTGTCCAGAGCAGCTGGCCCTTGGCCGGGCCTTGGGGGCTGCATTGGGGGCCTCATGCCACCTCCCTTCTAGGGCGACACCCAGGGACTGAAGACTATTTCTCTTGCAGGAGACTCCGGGCAGAGTTACCACTGCCTGACTGTCAGAGGATGCATTTTATTCTTTCTTAGGGAAACTGAAAGCAGCTTGCACCTGGTAGGGCGGTGCACAGTAGTTGCAAAATGCTGGATGAGTGAATGAATGGCCACCTGGGGGATGTGGAGCTGCCTGGAGCTGGAGGATAAGGTCTGGGTTGAACTGGGATCTTTTCTCTGCCATTTGACGTCTTGTCAAGTGGCAAATACACTCACTTGGGGTCCGGCAGAGGGCAGAACCAATGCGGAGGGCAGATGCTGCAGGTCACCCCACGAGGGAGGTCTTGCAGGCGCAGGCCCTCACCGTGGCTGCACGTTGCCATCCATCAGAAGGCCCAGCAACTCCCTCCTTTGGCCTCGTCTCCTCCTTGGCCCCCGGCACCCTGGCCTTTCCCTCCCCCTGGGAAACCTCCCTAGGGATCAGTGTGCCAGCTGCCGTTTCCTTCAGGGCCCTTAGCAGAGAGGCCCTCCCTGACCGCCTCGTGTTAAATAGCGACTTCCTGTGCCCGGGCACTTTCTATTTCCCTTATGTTGCCTTACTTTTGTCCCCCGCACTTACCTGCAGCAGGTAGCACCCACGGGGACCTGTCGGCGGTCTGCCTCCTTCAGCACAGGGGCTGAGACTTTGTTCTGTTCGCAGCTACAGCCCTGGTGCCTGGTAATTCCTCGCGCTCAGTTGGGGCTCGGCAAATACCAGCCTTTTTTGTACAAAATTGTACAAAATTTACAAATTTTACAAATTTACAAAAATGCACCCTTAGAGATGCGCAGGAACATAACGGAATGCCCCACCCAGTTGGGACTGTCCCTGAGCTCTGTCAACGTGGGGGTGTTGGGGGGGTCCCCGCTGCGCTGGTTACTGGCTTCAGGGATGAAGCTGTGCCCGAGGAGTTCTAGAAGCACAGTCCGCATCCTCTGCATGGAGGCACCTGCTGCTGTTGTCCTCTGAGCCTGCAGTGTTTCCTCCCTGGTGCCCTCGTGAGGACACCACTCTCCCCGGCCAATGCTTCGGGGCGCAGCTGTGCGGCCCCGAGCGCCGCGTGCAGAGGGCGCGGGGCGGTGCAGGCGGGGTTGTCCAGACCCTGACCCGCACGCAAGCCAGTGGCCCTCTTTAACTGTTGATTTGTCTTTAAGCACAGAGCAGCATTCCTGTCATCCGCTTGTCTTTTTTGTGTGTGCTATAATATTTGCCCTCGGCCACCGGCTAGTCTCTCCTGCCCTGGTGTCGCACTCCTTTCGGGCTCTGCGTAAATGTGCGTTTTTCTCCAGTTTTCCGGTTTATCCTGCTTTGCTCGAGCCGTCCGTATCTAAAACACCACCCGTGATCTCTCCAGCTTGGGGTCCACCGAGTGGAGACAGATGGCAATTGTATCTGACCCAGAGCTTTCCTGCGTGGCGAGCCTTCACACGAATGACCGTATTTGATTGCCGCTAAGCTGGGGAGGGTTCGGGTGAGGGCGCTGAGGTTGGGGGACGTGAGCAAACTCTGGTCCGCGCACCTGGGCCTCTCGGCGCTTGCCGACTGCGCTCCAGCTGGGCACTTGGTCCGGGACCTAGACGAGGGGCAGCCCAGGCCCCTGAAGAGCCCTGCACTGGCCCCCCGCAGGGACCTGACCCGGTCCCCCAGCTGGGACTGTCTTCTGACCGGCGCTCATCTACTGGAGAGTCTCTGGGGACCCCGCTTCCCAGCTGGCGAGTCTCGCGCGGGCAGTCCGCGGAGGGCTGTCCCTGCCACTCAGGAGCAGCCGGAGCTCGCACGCAGCCGGCCCGGGGGACGCCGCCCAGACACGGCTTCTTCTGCCGCCCACGAATCGCAAACCGACGCTTTGAGATGTTCGTGCAGGGTGATCATTTTCAGAGTTCAAGCTCCAATTTTCAGGCATGTGGCCAGACCTCTCTATCGGTTCTTAAAACTCCTTGGTAGTAGCCTGTAATTATTTTGGCCTAGTCTTGTAACGCCTTGAGAGCAAGAGCCTTCACAGCTCATGGGGGTGAGCGTATCTACCCTAGTTTAAAAGCTGCGTGTCATTTTAACAGGCTACCTGGTAGAGCACTCGGAAGTCAGGTAGGAAGCATTGCCCCTTTTCTATTACCCGGGTGAAAGTGGGCTGTTTTCTGTCCTTTTAAATCCATCTAAAAAGTGCATGGGCCTCCATAAAAGCACCCATAATTATTGACGTGTAAAATGCTTTGAAGCCTTTGGCTGGGAGGCTGTGCTGTGAGGGGCAGCCCTGTTGGTGGCTGGGGAGGCCCGTGGGACAGGCAGGCGGCACTCCCACGGGGACAGGCGCCCTGGCGGGCTGGCCTCCCACGGACGTGCGTGCTGAGGAGTAACTGCAGTTTTACAGCATCGGCTTTGGTTACGTGCAGATAGACGCCACAGCAGCCTTCTCAGGCCTTAGCGAGTCTTTGCCGTGAGTGGCCGTCCCATGTGTCAGCTTCTGTGATTCATCCCGCAGCCAAACTGGTCGTGCCAGCCCCGCTCAGCGTTCCCCAAGCACATCCCCAGTCCCCGAGACCTGCTGCTCCGAGGTCAGTGCTCCTCAAAGACCTGATGGGGTTGAGCCTGGCCTCGGCTGAGCTGAAATCGTCTCCCCTCCTCCCTTCCCCACCGACCTTTCTGGTGACAGAGGCTTTTTTTTTTTGTCACTGGGGCAGAATCCCAGAAGGGTGGACGGCCACCCTGGCCACTTACCATTTAGTGTTATGAAATGTAAAAGATTCACGTACTTATATAACAATAGCTAGAGATGAAATTAAAATTTGCCATTTGTTTGATCTTAATTATTATACGAATTAATTATATTTTAATGTTTTTAAAGTGATGTTTGAGACATTACAAAATTATTTCAGTTACAAGCATGTAATCAAAGCTATTATTTATTATTACAAAACGTTTTTACAATGCTATTCTTGGCCACAGGAAATGCTTACTTTCATTGAGTACATTTTTTTTTTTTTTTTTTTTGGGAACCATGCCGAGGATAATGGCAACATTTGGGTTCGTTTGTCCTGTAGGACTGCTGAATATTTGCCTAAACCCTTTCTATTCTTTTCAAATGTGCATTAGTTCTATTTTTACTTAAAAACAACTGGATGCTGAAGAGGGTAGCAGACAAACGTTTGAAGTAGATGAAACTCATTTTTAATCAACAGAATTTAGAGTCTGGTCTGTCCGTCTGTTCTCCAAGAGCAGCAAGTCCTCCCTCCTCCGGCCCTGTTCCGTCCCCACCGTTAAACTGTGCGGGGCCCACGGGCGGCCCGAGCAGCCTCTCAGGCCGGCGGCCCTCCGCCGCTGGCGACCTCTGCCGCAGCTCGGGAGAGGGCGGGCAGCCTGCGACCCAGGCGGTACCTGCCCGAGCATCCTGCGTGCACCACGCAACATCACGCCGGAATTTCGAGACGAGGCCATTTGCTGCCATGGGCCATCATCACTCTCAGAAATAGTTTGTCTCTCTTGAGAGAGAGGCCGCAAGGTTGCTCCCTGCTACACGCCTCGGCTGACGTGATGGGGGCCTCTGCTGCACGGAGAACTGGTCAGAACCAAAAGGCCACATTCTAAATCGAGGCATGGTGTCTCGTTACACACCGGTCGCATCTCACCATCTGAGCCGCTGAAATAGGAGAAACGTGATAGTAGTATCCAGAACAGCTTTAGAGCAAAAGAACCTATCTTAAAGTTTTCTCTTAAAGAAAAAAAAAAAGAATGTATAACAGGGTTGGATGCATTAGGTAACTTTGTCCATTGTTAGAAATTAAAACTTCCAAAGCAGATAAAAGAACCAAGATTCTCTATGTTTACCTTTAATTCAGGGAACATTGGCAAAGGAAACACTAGGAAGGACACCCAAAGCTTGTCAGTGTCCTTTTTGGTACCCAGCCTTTCTTTCCTGTCCTCAGAGACAGAGTAAGAGCTGCTGATATCTTTGTTTAAGAGATGCAAGTGCCTTACACCAATAACCCCTATGGCGCGGGGTCTCACTGGAACTAACTTGAGTAAAAATTAACGCGGGCACTGGTGAGGCCCTGGCTCTGAGCTCGGGGGGAGCAGGTTTCGGATGGTTGCGTTGAGATCAGAATCTTTGTCTTGGGAAATGCTGATGACTGAGCCTTGACAGCTAAGCACAGGTTGCCTCATCGTTTTCTTGCCGTCTGTTTCTTTTTTTTTTTTTCTTTTCTTTTTTTTAAGCTAACAGCCGGACAATGCGTTAGACTGGTTTTTTGGACCTCCCAGAACAATATCTGATTAGCAAGTAGCACAGTTCAGTGACGTTCAGCAGGATGCAAATTCCAGACACCGCGATCATGAACACGGTGAAGACGGTCTTCTCCGTGGGCCGGGACACAAAGCAGTCCACCGTGTTGGGGCAGGGCCAGGCGTTGCACTTCACCAGGCGCTGCATGGAGAAGCCGTCATACATGATGTAGAACACGTACATGAAGACCGCCTCGAAGATGACGCGGAAGAAGATGCTGCTGGTGTAGGTCCACCACAGCGACCCCTCGATGCGGACCTTCTGGGTCTTGATCTCCTCGATGTCCTTAAATTCGCTCTTAATCTCCCCCTTGATGAACTTCCTCTTCTTCTCGTGTCTCCGGTAGGCCACGTGCATGGCCACCAGCAGTGCCGGCGTGGATACGAAGATCAGCTGCAGGGCCCAGAGCCGGATGTGGGAGATGGGGAAGTAGTGGTCATAGCACACGTTCTTGCAGCCGGGCTGCAGGGTGTTGCAGACGAAGTCGGCCTGCTCGTCCCCCCACACCTCCTTTGCGGCCACCACCAGGATCATAATGCGGAAGATGAAGAGGACGGTGAGCCAGATTTTCCCAATGCTGGTGGAGTGCTTGTTGACACCCCCCAGGATGGTCTGTAGGGTGCTCCAATCCATCTTGTCTGCCGGGGGGTTTGCGCTGCAAAAGACAAACGAACACAACACAGGGAGTCACTTGTCAGGACACAGTCGGGGAGATTTCCCTGGGTCTAAGGCTTAAGCAAGCACTCTCAAATCTCTTCCTGAGCAAACACCAACTCTTACGTAACCACACCCAGACGGGTGAGGACAAAACCAACTTAGTTTGCCCTAGGATTAAATGTATATTTCCCAAACCATCTCGAACATGTTTTCATGTGTTCTCTAATCAAGGCTAGCTTGTTCAGCTGAGTAATCCACCCGATCTTTTAGCATATAATAAAAATGTGGTGTGCGGGGCAGCATCATGGAGCAAAATACTTCTTAGCTCCACGGCACTAATGAGCCCGGACTGGACCCACCGAACCCTCCGCAGAACCCTCTGCGGGGTCTTCCCGGCTCCCTACGCATTCTCGCGGCTCAGCGTTCAACGGGGGACCCATTCGAAGCCTCACGCGTGGATCTGTACCCCTGGGACTGACACTGGCTTGGGCCGACCTGGCCTTAAAGGCTGCAAAGCCAGGGAAGGGGGACTCTCAGGGTTAAAGTGTCACTTACGGAAGTCTACCTAATCCACGGTTCTAACAAGTCTCCCTGAAGAGCCACTTTCCTTAAAACATTTCAATTAATTTTCACGGACTTGGCGTGTGGCAGTGAAATGGCTAAGTTTACACTTGAGGTGCCCCAGGTTACAACTTCACGAAGGGCCTGGCTTCCTTCTTTATGTGAGGCCACCCGCGCAGGGCTTTCCCACAGGCTGTGCGTGCAGCTGCCGGGCTGGGCCTGGCTGCTCCGTTGGTGCTCAGAGGTGCCTGCTCTGTAAGCACTGCAATTGCACGTGTTTACTGCGGGCCGTGGTTTCCAAATTGAAACGCTTCAGGAGTGTCTCTAAAGTGACACATCAGGAAACACGGCAGAAACTTCCACGCAGTGGTCCCGAGTGGCAGACGCCAGCGAGGCCCGAGGCCGCACCGCAGCCGGGCACCGGCGCCCGCGGGGGTCAGGGCCCCTTGCGGCACGTGGATGTGGAGAAGCTGGCGGATGAGCTTCCTCCTCTGCATCCCAGATGTGCACTGATTCACGGCTGTACCTGTCACAGTCAGTCCCTCTCCTGAACAGGAGTCCACCCTCTCCACATCCGGATGAATCACCTGTTCTCCACCCCTCTAACCTGGTAGTGAATCCTTCCTTCTTCTCGTACTTAAAAGCATCCTCCTCTCCCCATTTTAGGCAAGTTGTGTCCTGTTTCCTGCCGGCCTCCCAAAGCAGGCTCGAAATGGATGTCTCTCGTTACCCAGGGTCGTGGTGGCCGCGGTGGGGCACCAAGGTCAGGCTGAGACCACCCAGTGCCACCGTGGTCAGGGGAGGCAGGAGAGACACAGGCATGAGAGCCCGCTCAGATTGAAACACACTCGGGAAACATTCAGCCCAATCAGCTTGGGAAGGGGAAAACCAGTGGTTCAGTCCGGGCTCAGTGCTGGCCCATTTAAGTCCAGCCAGTGTGGCGCGGGTCAGGTGAGCCGCTGTCCTGCTGAGGGCCCCACGGCTTGGTCAGGTGCTGCTTGTGGCCCCCGGGGAACCACCAGAGCAATTCTCAGAGTTTTACAGAGCCATCATGGAAGGGGACGCTCCAGTTCCCCACTGGCGCTGCCCGCTAAGTGGGAAACAGGACACTCGCTGACATAAAGGATCCCCTGGCCTCAGCCAATACACCTGGCTAAAAATATGGGGGTGGAGGAGCGGCTCACGCCCGTGCCTCTCCCGTGGTGACGCACACACCCTGCAGCCTTCCATCCACCTGTCCAGTGGCCATCACCTGAGAAAAACACAGTTCCAAGTCAACCCTAGTTTTGCTGTCTTTCAAAGCTCCACCTGCAGCTGCCCGCTTCCAAGGCCCTTTCGGGACAGCGGCAACTTGCAGTCTGCCTCCCCAGCGGGACGGAGGGAGAGGGTGAGAGGGACCAAGCAGGGGGGTGAAACTGTTCCCGGGTTTCCGCCACGGCCCCCACCCTGCGACCCTGCGACCCTGCGGGGTCCCGCCTGGCCCGGCCGTCCTGCCCTGCTTGGCGCGCGGCCAGAGGCGAGCTGAGGAGCTGGCTCGGCCCTTCAGGAAGGAACGGGGCGGACCAGCCGGTTCCAGAAGTGGCAAAAGGAGTTCTTTACCCTTCGCTCCTCTGCCCTTCGGTGACCGGTGGGCGACCGCCCCCGACCTCCTCGCAGGTGTCGGTCACTGACTTAGCGCAGTAGTTTTGAGAGGGACTCAGAGGGCATTTGGGGACACGGCTACCCCGCGCGCCTCCAGACAGGCCCGGTAAGCGGCCGCAGTGTCCGGCCCTCAGACCGCGGCCCGGGCAGCGTTCGCGCTTATCCCCCCAGGGAGGGACGGTCGCCCTAGAGGGCCCGGCTCCCGGCCGCGCTCCGCGGCTCTGGCGACCGGTCTGCGCGCGGTCCTTCCCGCTGCAGCGCCGCGCCGCGAACCCAGCCTCCCGCCGCGACCAGGAGAACGGGAAGCCGCCGGCACCCTGGCTGCGGGTGGGCCCGGCTTCCCTGGTTCGGGCTGCCGCTCCGGCTCCCGGCTCGGGTCCCGCGGGCCCCGGCGCCCGCCCCGACCTGCGCGAGCGCCAGGGCGGCGCGGAGGGACGGGCCGGCTCGCCCCGCGGAGGCTTCCGGCTGCGCAAACGAAACCGGGTTTCCTTCCGAGCCGACTTCGGTCAGCGGCATCGTATGGAGCCCGAGACGAAGCGGCCGCCGAGAACTGTCCCTAAGGAATGTTGGCGACGACGACCCAAGCGCGCCCGGCCGCGCTCCGCCCTCGCTCCTTCCTCCGCTCGGCGGGCTGGGGCCCCCGCGCCCCCGACCCCGCGGCCCCACCCAGCGCCCCCGACGCCCCGCGCCCTGGAGCGCGCCCCGATCCCGCGCGCCGACCCCCCGCGCCTGGACCCCGCGCCCGATCCTTCGCCCCGACCGCGCCGACCCCGCGCCCGCGCCCCGGAACGCCGCGCCCGACCCCGCGCCCCCGAGTACGGCCGTCCGAACTGCGGAGCTCGGCTGGAGAAACGCCCGATGCCCGCCCCAGGCGCGGCGCGGGGTCCCGCCGCGCAACCCAGCCTCCCCGGCCGGGCCGGCTCCGGCGTCCCGGTCCCGCGCTTGGCGTCCTGGCGGGCGGGCTCACCTGCGTCGGGCGGCGGGGCGCGGGGTGGCCGGGGCCCGCGGGTGGGGCCGGCCTGGGCCGGGCGCCGCCGACTGGCTGCGAGAGGGAAGAGCGGAGCGCGCCGGGCGCCGTGGGTCCTCGACACCTGTCTCCTGCAGCGGCGCCTTTTAACCGCGCGCCACACCCCGCCTCTTCCCGCAGCTACCGAGAAAGTTACGGAGGGGGGGCGCTTTTCTCGGCGCCGGCCGCCCCCAGCGCCGCGGGCGGGGCGCGCGGGCTCCGGTGCCCAGAGCCGCCCGCCCGACCCCAGCGCGCCCCGCCCGGCGCCGAGACCGCACCCCGCAGCCCCCGGCGGCCGGGCGAGCGGGCGCGGCTGAGCGTCCCGACCCCGGAGGGCGCCGCGCCCGCCTCAGCCCCCCGCGTTTTGGGGGAGGTGGGGGGTCAGGGAGAAGTCGGGTGTTTAATTGGTTACTTCTGCGCCCGACGAGCGTGAGCGCATTATTGCAGGACAGCTCTGCTTCCATCTGTGTGGTTTTTTAATTAGAGAAACGCGTCCCTCCAGTGATGCCGGAGAGGCTTTGCGGGACCGCGGCGCGGGGCCGGCCGGTTCCCTGCGACGGGGCTCGGGGCGCGCGGGAGGGGCCTATGGGGGGGCGCCGCCTGTGCGGGGGGCGGGTGGGACGCCGCCTGCTCCCCCACATCTCACCGGCGACCCTAACAAACCCTTCTCCGATTCCCGATCCGACGCGATCTCTTTCCACACGCGCCCAGGGCTGCGGGGCGGTGGGGGCGGGGAGGCGCGCGTGGCCTCGGCCGCGGCTGGCGGCGGCGTCTCCGCCCGCCCGGGACAACCCGCGTGCGCCCGGCCGCCCGGTCCTCTGCGGCGCCGGGGCTGCGGGGCTTCTCCACGGGCGGGCGGGCGGCTGGACCGCGGAAAGGGAAGCCCGCGGCCCTCCCGGCGCGCCCGGCGAAGGGGCGCCGGGCGCCTTGTGGGGACCCCTGGCCACGCAGCCCAGTCCTTTCTCCCAGAAGCCCCTCTCGGGCTATGGGGCCGCGCGCTCCCGGTGGGCTGGGTGTGTTTGGTGTCTTAGCTGCAAGTGGCGGAAAGGCGACAGTCGCCGAGCAGCGCACGAGGGACCGCAGTGTCGGGGCAGCCGCGGGTGGGGACGGCGCGGGCCGGCCTCGGGCTCCTGCGCGGAGGGGCCAGTGCGGGGCGCGGGCTCCACTCGGGTCGGCCTCACGCTAGGCGGAGACGGTGACTCATCCTGAAAGGCACATCTGGCCTCAGAAACGGATTTCCCGAGGTGGGCACCGCTGGCAGGAAGGCCCTGGCTCTTCCCTGTGAAACTGGCGCCCGTCGCCCCGGGCCAACCCCGGCCGGCCTGGGACGGGCGACGTGAGCTTTGTCCCGCGCGTGTCCCCCACCTTCCAGCCCTGAGTCTTAGCGTCACAGGGAGTGTCCGTCCCTGGGAGACAAAGCCCCAACAGCTGCCAGAACCCTCCATGACCCATCCGGGAGACGTGCTGAGCCGGCTGTTATCCCGCGCTGCAAAGCCGGGTGCGGTAGAGGCAGCTTCCTGGGCCTAAGCGCACCTGGGCACAGGTGAGAGGTGACTTGGGGTGGGGCCCGGAGGGGAGGGCGGGCTGGCCGCTGGGCTCTCCCTTCGGTTTCTCAGGGGCAGTGCTGTTTAGGAGTCCTAGTCGGGTTTGAATGAAGGAAGGTTCTAGAACCATTGTAGGAAGCTGGCAGGTAAAGACAGTTTGGAGATGGAAAGTGATTCACCCATTGAAAAATTTCACCTTTAGGTTTTAATGCCTTATATCTCAATTATAGGTTCAACTTTCTTTTCCTTATTTTCCCTGGCTTGGTTGTCCCCGATTTGCATAATTATTGTGCGTCGTGGGATAATTATATTATCACAGTCACTCCATATTTTCAGGGATTTACAGCTCTTAAGTCTTCACTTACAATTCAGCACTTGCTTTTATTGTTTTGTATGATTTCTGCTGTTTTCCTGTGTTTTTGATGT